GTGTTGGTTGACCGAGTTTTCCGATGAATCCCAAGCTTCTAGAAATTCTCTTACGTGTTGTCGAAATCGAAGTTGTGTCCTCGATCCTCGTGAATTGAGATGAGTGAGAGTGCGTCGTGTCTTTTTTGTTCGTGCACGCGAGTTGCTAGTTTTCTGTCTGTTTGACCGATGTACTGCTGGTTACACTCCTTGCTGTTGATGCGGTAGATCAAATTTGTTCGATTTTGTCTTGTTTTTTGGTTTTCGATAAGATTCTTCATAGGGCGACTTCATAAGCACTGATGATATCACCTCGGCTGGTGATGAAAAGTTTGCAAACAGATTGCCAGACTCGGCGAACAGGCGAAATGAAATTCAGTTCACTCGAGCTACGAGAACCAATTTTCAGTATTTTGTCAATAGTTCTGTCCACTTTCGATCGCGTCAGGATCACGAACGTGTCATCTACGTATCCAAGCCATAGTTTTGACTGGAACTGTGATAGAATTGTCCTTTCGAGTTTTTGCACTACGACTTCAGCAATGTATCCGGAAATTGGTAAACCCCTGGGTGTTCCTTTCACCTGTTCGTAGATTTCACCGTCGAATTTGAAGTATGTTTTTAGGCATATATATTTTTTATTCAGTGTTTGATGTATCTGTCTTTATTCTAGAAGCTCCTTCAGCGTTTCCCTTGCCAAATCGAGGTTGATGGAAGTGAATAGAGCGGTGATATCAATATTTCATCTGCATCAATATTTACATTCTTCAATTTTTCTAGGAACTGTTTGGCGTTATTGATGGAATGTTCGTAGCCGGCAGTGAGAGGTTTGAGTCTCCTCCACAATTCTTTAAGCAGTTTGTAGGTTGGTATATCGGGAAGCGAGACTATTGGTCGTAGCGGCACATTATCTTTGCGTATTTTTGGTAGTCCGTAGAATTAAGCCGTATCTGAGTCGTTTGCTCTCATTCTTCAGTGTTTTTCCTTGCTAATTTGGTGCAGCTGTTCCAGCCGCTTCAGCGTTGTGTTGATTTAGCTGGAGAGTTTTGAAGTTCGCTCAGTTTGCAGTAGGTAGTTGTGTCTTGGAGTAATTCGTTTGCCTTTCTGATGTGGTCTGTCTTATCCATTACCATGGTTACTCTTCCTTTGTCCGCTGGGAGGATAATGATGCCCTTGTCGTTCCTCAGTGTTTAGATTGCTTTCTCGGTTTTTGAGAGTGCACTGAACGGTTTGTTTCGGGTCAGAATCGGAACGATGGTTTGTCGTATGTTTTTTGGTGTTATCGGATAACCCGGTGACTTTAGGGCATGTTCTCATCCCGACGGGTGTTCTTTCTTTGTCGTGTCTTTCGCATTAAATTGAAGTTCTCTGATGATAATTTCTTTTTCTCCGCTTTATATTGGACTTGATGAAATGCTCTTGATCCAGGCGTCGTGTTGCCCAGTCTCCTTGTGCCTGAACAAATTCTTAAGTTTCTTGGCTAATGAATTCTTCCTTTTTGCCGTTGTGTTGTTGACTCTTCAGATTCCTGTCAGATTCCTTGTCCAGTATGCTTTCGGAAATTATCT